GAGGAGAAGAGTCGTCGAAAAGTGGGAGGAGGAGAGAAGTCGATAAAGAGAAGGGGAAGGAGAATGAAGCGAAAACATATTTCTTAATTATTTCCTTTACTAGCTTATTTTCGGTCTCCTTAAGTCGTGCTATCTTCGTTTTCTTCTGTTTTCATCTTTCTTTTATTTTATTTCTTCTTTTTCTCGTTATTTATTTTTGCTCGTCCTAACGCATTTTCCGAACGCCTCAGGAGTTAGCCGCTTCCTTGCTTACGCCTCACAGGACATGTTGCTTACTCCTTGCAGTGTGTTCTCGTTGCCCTGAGTATTCGCACGTGCGCCCTTCCTAGAAGCGAATGTAATGTGTTTCGACCTTGTTTTTTCATGCGAATGTTCAGTAAGGAAGAAGGGTTTTTTCCTTCCCAGCATTAATTTTCGTAGCGTCTTTAAAGGGCGTGTTATTACGGAAAGGTAAACGTTCGACCAAAACGACACAAGCTATTAACGGAAACGATTATTGTTCCTCTCGCGAGTATATTGTTTACATATCAAGAATATGCTATTAATTTATTAATATTTGATATTGTAAACTGAGAGGTGGAACTGTAAATTTATCGTGTAGTAGGGAATGATTGAACATTTGCATAGAGTGCTTCCTGAAATATTAATTACTGTAGTTGATTGAGAGGTCATGTTATTTTGAAAATGTTTAAGATCAAGTGCAATTTTTCAGAGAAAATACAAGCTCTAAGGGAGAAGTAGATTTATTACTTAATGAAAATTCATGGCCAGTCGTGCAGAAAATAAAAATGAATATAAGCAAGATCTGTAGGATTTAATTGTTATAATTTTATCTAATACAATTTTTACTATTTAAGAAAAAAAGTATTTTGAATCGGATCTTTAAAAGCTTATTCACGGCACGGAATATCTGAAGAATACTTGCATCATTAAGTAATTCCTGAAAACTTGCAGCTGTTTTGGAAAGCGTTTGTCATTTTCAGAACTGACCTTACTGAAACACGTTTCCTTTTTGGACCTTTCTAATGTCCTCTAATTGCAAATTACTTTTTATTTCATCATACAATCCTCTTCTTTTTAGGTTACTATTCATTATACACAATACGGTTTGAAAATATTTTCCCCATTGCTTTAGGCTTCCATTATAACACTGCGTTCGGGATTATTTCTTCAGAAATTCTTTGATGTTGTCGACCAACTGTAATCTTCTCTCTTTTATCATTTTAATTATACCCTTTTCTGCCTTCATTCTTTCCCTTAAAAGTGAACTTCTATTTTTATCTTTTCTGTATACTCTTGCGGATGTCCTCTACAAGTCAATTTCTGTAGCTCTCAATTATATTTGCGTCATATAAATTATGCGAAGTTTTTCTACAATTGATTTATAAATCAAATATATAATAAATAACGTTTTTAATTCTTACTTAAGTATTTAATTTATCTACTAACTTTCTTCCTTTAATTGTTATACTTCCCACTTCATTTTGTTGTTCCATAAATGTGAAACATAGAACTGAATATTTATTATGATTAATTTTGAAACTTTTATTTCCCTCGATTTTGATATGAGCATAGCTCTCAAAATACGAATTTTGCAAACTCATATTTCAAAATATTACTCAGAAAAAAGTGGCTGTTGAAGATCAATAACTCGAATACAGCTGGAGTTTGACATCCAGAGCTGTTTTCTAGAAATGATTTCTGACGGTTGCTTTCAGTTTATGACGATATCGAGACGACCAGCCATTAAAATTTAATTATCGTGAACACTTTTTCAGCAAACGCTAAATAAAAGGTGTGACAGTAAATATAGTTTGGCTGGAAAAGATCTCTGCACGATCAGAATATAAATCGAAATTATCCTTTTGAGAATAAAAAATAAGATAGTAGTTGGGTATGACAGTTGCGTCGTGCCTTATTTTAATTCACGTACTTCGAATAAGAACTGCCTGTTGGAAAACTTGAACTGAAAAGCAGTTGCTTTTTACACCTAAATGTGTTTCTCCAGATGAACATTATCGATTTTTGAATGCGACGTGGTGTCAAAAGAGCTGTCATTATTAAATGGTATCGGAAATTGTGGGCATCAAAGTAATACGAAACGGTTAGCGGACTAGATGGATCGATTGTTTCTAAAGAAAGCAACACACCACAATCAGAATGTAAATAGCACTAGCTTAAGAGACCCAGCATTACTTGGACATTGATCAAAATCATCTATTGGATCGTTTGGCATGGCGTTGACTGAATTTTACATCAAGTTGTTTCTCACTACTACCAATAGCTGGATTTTCTTCGCATGTTTGGTAACAAAAAATCATTGCAATTAAACTTAGAATTGTTAATGAAGATATATTTTAATCTATTAATTTAAAACTGAAATGCCTCGCTTTGTACCGGTGTTTACTTTCCGTAATTTATTTGACAGAAACTATTCTCGCTTAATTCACCACTTCTATCTATCCTATCATAGTTTTAATTAACATGGTGATTGATAACGGAGGAAATATTAGATTGAAGTATTGAACTAAATGAATCAAGGGTGAAGATTTGAACCAATAAACGTCTAAAATCCTGCAGCATACAGTAATACTGCATGGTTTATTTTCACAAACTATCTGTATGCAGCATACGGAATTTTTTGACTTAAACAAATACTGTTCTCAATGTAATTAGCTAAACGGGAAATATGCAGGTTTCTAGTTGTTATCCGTAGCTTTCCAGTGCTCTATTTTCATTCAAATTATCACCACCTATATTTCGCCCAAAACATGCGCTTATTTCAAACGTGTCCAAAAATGTTAGGTATGGTACTAAATATATAAATAAATAAATAGCCGGGAGAGATGGCTCAAGATATCACTGCAGTGGCGCTGACCGGGAGGTCCTAGGTTCGAGTAACGACGGTGACAGGAATTCTACACTGGCTAGTTAGGTCAAGTTCAGTCGTTTTCTGGAGGAGAATGCTAGCGGCCGGCTATTCTGATAGGTAATTTTCCGTGGTTTCACCGATCAATATTAGGCGAATTGAGCAGTTCCGTCACAAATGGACCACAAACAGCACGTGAACTTTCCTTCTTCTTTCTTGTCCTGTTCTCACCCCTTGCACATACACACTCACACACACACACTCGCACTACATTACTACACATACCGGGAGACTGGACTGGAGCATAGAGATTGTTCCGGCTGGGGTGGTTCCCCACTGCTGGGAGATACCTGGTTGTGGGAAATCCCGCCAGATGACGATAGATGGGCGTCGGTTCTTACCATCCAATGGAGGAATATCACTGCCACCTTACGAGGTGAAAACATGCATCACACGTACGGAACTAATGAACTTAGCCATTAGTTGAAGCACCCGGAATCACCAATCAATAAATAAAAAAATAAAAAATCAATCAATCAATAAAAAATCAATTAATCAATCAAAAATAAATTAATCAATCAAAAATTAACAAAGAAATGATTTAAAGTTGCATCTACTTCTCTCAGCGCTTATTTTTACTTAAAGGAGTGGCGCGACTGATAACGTCTCGTAAAATTACTCTTATCGAAAAGAAAAAACCAACACCAAGTCAGTATGTTAGCGTATGAACATTAGTGTACGGAAATATATTTTAGAGGCTGCTATGACTACACCTTTAATTAAATAGAAAAATCTTTCCCCTTAATTTAATAGAAATTTACTCCTCTGCTACACAGAAATACTCCAACTTTCAACAGTTCAACATTTCCAGTGTTTTAAATTATTTTATAATCAACACGTATTTTCTATTATAATGAAGAGAGTTTAAATAAATATTATTATATTATGATTAATGATATTAATAGTCAGGTAAAATTAACTACAAGGAGAAATTTTACGATTTATTCATTCACACGTAAACATCAACTCGTTGGTTCTGAAATTACTGAAATCTTCTTGCAACGATTTTGGATAGTTTTCATTTTACTGCCTGTTCCTCTCAAGCTAGCCATCGTCTCGCTTGCTAATGTACTTGCAAATTTTACATATAATTAACATAGCATCACGCATAACTGCCATTACCATAACCGTTATCTCTGGTAGTTAGGGCCAAAGTCTCAGCTTAGCGTTAAGTGCCTTGAAGATGGCAAGCTCATTTGCAGTGAACAATGCGCTTGAGATTTTTGGAAACATCTGCCGAAACACAATGTGTATTTCTTTTGCACGAAACTCCTTTTTTTCTCTTAAAATTTTTTTTTTATAAATCAGTGTATGTTCTTAAATGTATGAATTAACTTCTTAATTAGTGGAAAAAATGGGGAAATTATTTCCTTCATTTTCGGTAAAAGCTCGTAATTAGTTATGTTTAAGGTACCATCAAACTACAGTGCATATACTAAAATATTTTAATTCATTAAGATATCACTGTTGTTCACACAATTGTACAATGTAAACACTGATAATAAATGTATTTTGGAGAGTTTTCACTACAGACTGTGACTACAGTGACGTATAAAATCTAAAACCTGTACAAATAAATTCAAAGAAATGTAATCAGAAATAAAATTAATTCTGAATTAACTACGATTATTATATAATCGTCGGGAGCTTAGAGCTTGTCCTGGCTGAGGCGGTGCTCCGCTGGTGGGATATACCTGGAGGCGGAAATCGGTGCTGGTGGGAAATACCTGGTTTAGAAAACCACGCTAGCTGTCGGATAGGTCGGCGCCAGCGGGGAAATGTCACTGTCACCTCCCGTGATACAAACGTACTGCACCTACTTAAGCTCCCGTAAACACCTAACAATCAATCAGCCAATCAACCAATCAACAAATCAACCAATTAATCATTCGAACAATCAACAAATCAACCAATTAAGCGATCAAACAATCAACAAATCAACCAATTAATCGATCAATCATGGACCAACCAAGCAATCATCAACCATCCAACCAATCAAATATCCAGTCAATCAAACACTCAATCAAACATAGTTGGGAGCCGCACCGGAAGGCGTGGCGGGCAACTCACGCGCGCTGAAGGCGTGGTCCCACCAGTCGGCGCGGCAGAGCGGCGCCTTGAGGCCCTCGGCGGTGCGCCCCACGTAGACGCGCGGCGCCGCCACCAGGGTGCGCACGGCCAGCAGCGCGCCCACCGCGCCCACCAGCGCGCCCAGGCGCCTCAGCAGCGCCGCGTCCGAGATGCGCACGGCCTTGGCCGAGCGCACGCGGAAGATCACCGAGATCCTGCGCACGCACGCGACGCCGCGCGCGACTCAGCGCCGGATGGACACTTGTCGGTCCAAGAAACACATTTATCTGCCCAACACTGTATATGGCCAAGAAGCACAATTATTGTCTCGAGACTTTATCTGCCTCCAAAGCACACTTATTGGCTCAGGAAGATTACGTATTGGTTCGAAAACCACACTTATTGACTGGAAAAGCACACTTTATTGACTGGAAAAGCACACTTATTGACTGGAAAAGCACACTTATTTACTAGAAAAGCACACTTATTGACTGGAAAAGCACACTTATTTACTAGAAAAGCACACTTATTGACTGGAAAAGCACACTTATTGACTGGAAAAGTACATTTATTGACTGGAAAAGTACATTTATTGACTGGAAAAGTACACTTATTGACTGGAAAAGTACTCTTATTGGCTGGAAAAGTTCTATTATTGGCTGGAAAAGTACACTTATCGGTCCAAGTAAAAACATTTATCCAGGGGCGCTCAGAGAAATCAATAGTCCTGGAGCAGGTCCATGGGCGGATTATTTCCAACAAAAGCACCTCGTATTTGTTTTTATCATCAATTATAAATATGTTTACCATATTTCAACTACCGTAAAATATGTTTCTTGCAAACAAATGTTTTGAAGGAAATACATTGAGTATACATTTTGGAGGCCCAACTTAAGTGGGGGCTTTGGGCAACTTGCCCCAGCTGCTCCACCCTCTGGACGCCCCTGCATTTCTCAGTGCACGTAACAAACGCACGCATTGCGTTGGTTACGCTCGTTGCGAGCGAGCGAGCGCGCGCGCGCGTACCTCCACGTCTTGAGCATGAGCGCGCCGTAGGTGAGCACGAAGCCGATCTCCCGCAGCCACACGCGCGCCGTGCACGTGACCACGTTGGGGTTGGGGTACGCCACCGCCACCTGCGCACGCCAACGTCCTCGCTCCGAATAAGAATTAAAGAAGCCAAGTTATTTGTGGCACGAGTGGCAAAAATGAAATTGTATGTTGCGGGTAGGAAAGTTTGTAACATGAGGCTAACAGGCCGATAGTCCGTTGGCGTAATCCTACGAGCAAAATAAAATAACTTTCACCACGTGTGTCACACACTATTTTTAGACATTTTTAGAGATTTCTGACAATTTTAATTTGATTTAAGAGTAGAAATCACTTAATGATAAGGTTAGTAACGTTCGTAGGCTTCCGCGGCCAGACTCAATACGATCTTGGCTATCCGGGATCAGCCGCGTGTCGGTCAATTGGGCTGTCGTTTCGGCTATGCTGCAGTATAGCTGTGAAGAAGACCACAGCAAGATGGCCGAAACGTAAGCCCCATTGACCGAGACGCGGCCCATCCCAGAATGTATAAGGTATGTAGTTTAATGCACAGAAATGAAAACACTTCACATGTATTATCAACGAAATGAAAAAGAAATAAGCTGTAAGTAACAATAGCACAGCCACACAAAAACATTTGTTCGAGTCTGGGGATCTGACGATGATTTCTGTTTTTTGATCGGAATCCGGAGTCTGTTGTACTCCATCACATCAGTCTTTGACATAACCTAAAAAAATTTAATGGTATGTCAAAAATCTGGTGTGTTTGGGTAAAATGGAGCGACCCCCAAAACATATAGAAAACACAGGCTGATCCCCCAGACACGAATACAATTCTTTGTGGCTGTGTAGTTAATGACGTGATTTAAGTGGTAAAAGTGACGTATAATTTTGCGCGTAGGAGATTTTGTGGCAGTAGACCAAGAGGTCGAGTGGCGAAATCCTATAAGCAAAATGAACTCCTAAGAGCAAAATTAAATGTAGAATTAAATTATGCATGTGTAGCATGTATTGTTAAACTATGCATCAATTTTATTTGTCTGTCAATGAAAATAAGAAACAACTAAATTTCAACTTAACCATTAATGTCTCTAGAAATGAAACTGTGTCACTTGTGTCATGAAATGAAACTGTGTCACTTTACCACTTGTGTCATGCACTAATTTTAGACAGCCTTACTGACTTTCATTTTACATTTATTCAAGCATACAAATCTCTTAATGAAACATTATGGTTAGTAGTGACTGATGCGGACAGATTGGAGTTTTTTGTTCTCTTTGTTGCATTCCCAGATTTATTTCAATACTTGGGCAACTTGTCACTTTTAGAACTAGTGCTAATAATTGGACTTTTAATGTGCTATGCATGCCGTTAAATGACCGGTTTTACTAGTGGATATCCAATTTTAGACAATCCAATTTTATTAATTTATTTTTTTTTGTTTTATACATAATTGGAGTTTTAATAAATATAAACAATGTGAGATTTGTCATTTTATAAACATAAATACACAGTGACTTGGACAATTGATAAGTGATCGTATTTAAAAAGACAAAATAATGTACGTCTGTAAAGTTTGAATTAGGTCAAATTAGTACGTAGATATCAAAGGTAACACATGATCTCAATACTAAGGAGAAAGACTTCTTGGTGTACATCCCTTTGGGGGTTTTATCTTCCTTAAAAGTGCCCATTCTAAATAATTAAGAAAAAAATTGAGGAACAATGATCACTTTAAATATAGACTTCTCGAAACAAAATTGGTATTAAATGCTATTTAGAAGATATATTCAAGACCTCTATGTAAAAGTAATAAGTACCTGCATTTATGATTCCGTATTATACCTTACGAAGAAGCAGACTAACGCATGAAATTTATGATTTATTAATTAGCTACAAACCGTTTCTCTTTGAAGTTGAACGACTTAACAAAAACAATACAGTTTCTAAGACACCTTTTCTCATATTCCGGTATATAATAATTTATACTTCGACCACAAAGAAGAATCTAAAATTAAATGTCATTTCAAATCAACCACTTTGTGTCCCTCGAACCAATAGTGTATAGGACCAGCATAAAGCTGCTCAGCAGGAAGCGATTTCCGTCGAGGTACATAAAGCGCGGAGTGACCGGGCCAGCGGGAGCCTGTCGTTTCTCTCCACCCCCGAACAGCGATCGCCGCTTCCCGTCCAATAACTCCTTTTCCCAGAATCCCCCACGTTTAACGACGGTCGCGCCCCCACAGCGGCAGGAAACACATTCGCCCCGGCCGCCCGTCGCCCTCCATCGCCCTCCATCGCCCTCCACCGCCCTCCACCGCCCCGATCGCCCTTTGGCGCCGCGCTGCGGGTGGGCGGGACGCAGTGTGGCCAACCGCAACGCCCCGCGAAAATTACGTCGATGCAATATCGGTTCTGACCCTGCCCGGGGGAACGGGTGGGTGCAGTTCAACCACTGCCCGGAAGAGAATTTAACGTCCGACCGCTCTAATCGGTAGTTTTCTGTGGTTTCTCCAATCAATACCAGGCGTATGCTGGAGTAGTAGGGTAACAAACGGGCCCTGGGCACGCACGATCTTTATTTCCTCTTCCTTGTCCTATCCTCACCCCTTACACATATATGCAAGTACACACGCCGAATATCACGTACTGACACTTTGTCACAGGTACTTGGTGACTGGTTAAGTTCCAGGACCCGGGGTGTTGAGAGGTATTTTAAGGGACATCAGTATTTACTTTGGTGAAAGAAATGAATAAACCCTTATACTTTAGAATGTTTGTTTTTTGTTAACTGAAAACAAATGAGATATGTGTAAAAGTGCCTTTTAAAAATATTTTGTTGACGTACTTGAATATAGTACAAAGAACAGTATTAAAATCAGCGTAAAAACAATATATTTTTCATAACCAGATTTTTGACATATTTCATCCATTTTTTCTGAATTTTTCCGGAACGTTGAAATTCTAATTTCCCAATAATTTTCCGAAAAGACATAATTTTGTGATATGATCAACGTTTTAAACTCAAAGAAAACACGCGCCACAGTGTAAAACTACATATACTACTACGAACTACTACAAAGAGCAAGTGATATAACGATTCATATTTCGCAAAAGAGTTCTTAAATTGTCCTGCATAGGCAGCCACATCAATGGAAACATCTCCATGAGATACCAAGGTACAGTCAGGCACATGCGCGGAAAGACAGGGAAACGTGTGCCCGAGCTATGCTTGGGCTTAGGACAATTGAGCAGTAAGCAAAGTTTAGGTCTGGCTTGGGCTTTAATGTGTTAACAAAGAGGAACACAGTTATCTCTAGGGATATGACATGCTCAGGAATTACAGGACAATGGTAGTAGGCGTAGTCGAAATCAATACTCAAGCTCTCTGGCTAGGGGGCGTTGAATGTTCAAAGGGTGTTAGTACAGCAACGCCACACGACTTCCATTTATTTATGGCACCTCAAGTTCCAGTCACTCTGTGTTGCCACACACTCCCGAGGCTAGCACAGTGGCACGTGGTAAGCACAGAGCTGCGGCTACCAACCCCGTTGGGAAGAATGTTCGCTTTGTAAACACTAGTGATCTTGAAGATCCCTATTGGAGACTGCCTTCCGTCTCCCTTTTTCGTACTTAACCTTGAGGTGCCATTATCAATAAATCGAAGTATAGTGCTAGGTAAAAGAACTCTTGAAGATGCCTGGCAAGTTCAAAACCTTTCAGAAATAATTCCGCTGTAGAGATAAAACGTTACCCGGATCAGACTATCACTTTATACTTATGCTTATACTTTCTTAACTGAGGATCACAACCAGTATAATCATTTTTGGAAGCACCGAGATACAGAGGTCGTGGAGTGAAGAGCACGGCTCCAGACTTGGGCCTCCGCATCATCATTAAAGACAGAATCCAGCCGAAATTCCCAGTACAGGCAGATTTTTAAGCGCGCATATGCCAAGGAAGTTACATCCACAGCGCTCTTTATTTGCGAGGAAGAAAGATGGTGAAAGTCGTGTTTGCGAGTTGAAATTCATTTAAAGTCGTGGATTATTTGAGTGCGAAAATAGTTGGTGGTGTCATTGGCAACATTGGAGGCAAAATAATTGGCGGCATATACTGACATCATTGGCGACAAGTGAATGAGTAAAGCCTAAACATTCATGAAAACAAATTGTTAGCGATCTTAATATTCCCAGTCAATCATTATTTCAGAATCCATTTCCTAAAATAGCTGAAGGATTATAATGCTTAGTGTAGTGTTTAAAACCTGTTTTAAATAATATACTGTAGACATTTGTTCAACTGTGAGAAATAAAAGCGAACTTTGGAATTTAGATAAAAAATATTCTGTCAAATGAAATTGAAGGCTTCAAATCTGAATGCTGAATATATGAATCTGCTGTTGTATTGAGCTTAAAACATGTAGTGAATTATTTTCTAAATAAAAACGAATGTTTTCTTAATAGGAAATAGAATGTAATAAATGAATTTATTATATTAATAGTTGTGGCTAAAATATTCTTCTCGACTATTGGACAATGGAAGTGATATATTTAAAGTATGTCAATAAGAGGGTTGCCAACAGTCTGTGCACTAGAAATTACAAATAAACGTCACCACAATTTTGTCATTGGACGTTTCTCGTGAGAAATGTAGGCACATTCGATTTTCACGTACAATAGTCTTAAGAATTAAACTGTTAATTATATATGTTGGTCCAATAAACGGTATCCATTCTACGAAACGTCATCGTGAGCTGCACGCGAGAGAACGGAGGACAACGGAGTGGAGGAGCAATTAGAGAGCGAAGAATGAAAAGAATGTGTGCGTACTCGCAAGTATGTGGATGGCTGTGTGCCCAAGCGCAACATGATTTTTTCATTTCTTGTGTCATGCCACATATCTAGTGTAGTGCTAAAATTAACTCTGGAAATGTAATTAAGCAAGTGGACTTAATATAACGAATATTGCTCTGCAGTTAGTAAGATTTTAGTTATCGGCTTTATGTTCGACAATTAAAATGTCTTTAAAGAGATTTTAATAACTTTTAGTGCTTGTGTTCCTCAAATATTCGTTGAAATGCAAT